TCCTGCTCATATGTACGGCATGTAAGTGTTACTCCTCCCATGGCCGCTTTAAGGGCCTCATGGAGCGATGTGTTGGCAAGCCCTCCAGGTTCGGCAAGTGGGTTTGGTCCGTCGTCGCTCGTGGAGGCCACCCTAAGCGACGCGAACTGTCAGTGTTTTGCCCTCTCCTCCTTTCGGACCTTGACCTCCCCCCTCCTCTCTCCGTGAGGCCTGCTCGTAAGCGCGCTAGCTCGTACTCGGACTCGGAAGAAGACGAACGCAGGCGCGCTGTAGGAACTTCGTTGGCGGAAACGGCCGAAGCCGCCGCTCTCCACAGTATGTCTCAGCAGAGGAGAGATACCCATCAAGGGCCGAGTCGGGACAGTCCCACTTTCTTGGCGAGGAGACGCCAGGATCAGTCTGACAGTTCCGATTAGTTTAACTTTGTGTTTGTGGCCTTCGGCCTTTCTATTTCTCGTTTAAGCCTTGGCTCTACATCTGGGGCGAGGCTATGTCGTCCAGGCGCATCCAGCACCTGGGGCAGGCCTCGTCGTCCTTGTGTGGGCCTTTCTTTTTCCGTGTGTGTGTGGGCTTTCTTCAGCGAGCACGGGGGTAGTTCTATCCCGACTGTAGCTCGACTTTGGCGGTTGCTGTGGCCAGGTAGCGTCGCCCCTGGCCCCACCGCCTGGGCCCTCCTCGTGCTTCGTGCGCGGCGCGCTCGAGGAGGTGTCCAACGCTCGTGCAGCTGCGGCGGCTGTGCGTGCGCTCTTCTTTCCTGCCGCCCGAATTAGGGGATCAGCCCTTAATCTCTCCTCGTGGTTCCTCACCTTTCCAGCTGGTGAGGGGCCGCTCGAGGCTCGCCGTGAGGGTGCGGGGGGGTGTGGCACATCCCCCGACTGCAGCCCCCTGGCTTTCCCTGCTGCCTGCGACGCCTGGTGTCAGGGAGGGTGGCGTGGAGGTTTCAACGCAATCCTCCCGCCTCCCCAGCCTTGCCAAGGGTACGCCCCACCAGTGGCAAGAAGCATTCAGGGGTTGAAAGGGAAAAAAAAAAAAAAAAAAAAAAAAAAAAAAAAAAAAAAAAAAAAAAAAAAAAAAAAAAAAAAAAAAAAAAAAAAAAAAAAAAAAAAAAATCATCCTCATCATCATCACACATGTCATCAGCAGCATCATAACAATAAGCAGCATCAGCATAATCATCAGCATCATCATCAGATCAGTATCATCATCATCGTCATCAGCATCATCATCATCGTCGCCATCGTCATCGTCATCGTCATCGTCATCGTCATTATCATCTCCACTATCATTCATCATCATCACCATCATCAGCAGCAGCATCATTACCATCAGCATCAGCACCATCACCATCATCATCATCATCATCATCATCATCATCATCATCATCATCATCATCATCATCATCATCAGCATCAGCAGCATCATCATAATTAACCTCCTCATTCCTCTCCTCCTACTCCTCCTTCTCCTCGTCCTCCTTCTCACCCTCCTCCCCCTCCTCGGCCTCCTCCTCCTTCTCTTCCTCCCCCTCCTCGGCCTCCTCATCCTCCTTCTCCTCGTCCTCCTCATCCTCCTCCTCATCCTCCTCCCCCTCCTCCTCCTCCTCCTCCTCCTCCTCCTCCTCCTCCTCCTCCTCTTCCTCCTCCGCCTCCCCATCTCCTCTCGGCTGTGCGCCCAGGGGGAGGGCGGAGGGGGCGGGCCCTCTCAGAAGACTCCCAGGGCCTCCGGCCTTCTGAGAAGTTGCCTTCGCCTTCTCCCAGAGGGCTTCGCGGATGGCCACAGGGCTTCCAACGAGCCTTGCGGCCTTCCGGGAAGGCTTGCCACCCTCTCCTTCCCCCCCCTGGGCTCGCCGCCGATCCGTGGGACTGTGGAGAACTTGTGCAGCCAAGACGCTGAAATTCGGAAGGGGCTCGATGTTCCTTACGTCCTTCCACGGTTGTTCCTCTAGCCATTCTCGTGCACCCAGGCTTTTTTGAAGCCGCAGGGGGGCTTCGTTCCTGATTTAGCGTTCCTTACTTCAGCAGCCCAACTGTATGGCGGATTCGCGCGGCGCTGGGTCGAGAGCCGCGAGTCTCGAAAGCCGTGCGCTCTCCATCCGCCGCGCAGCTGCTGTGGCTTTGAGGCGTCGGGGCCGTCAACGGTGAGGGACTGGCAGGCGACGAATCCAGCCCGCAGCCGCACAAACGCCCGCGCCCAGGAGGCCCCCAAGTAGCAGCGCGCTGGGCGCGAAGATAAGTGCGCGTCGCGCATTTCGGGGCGCGATGCGCGAAGACGGCTGACCTAAGGGGGCGGAGGAGCAGGAGGAGGAGGAGCGACGACGACCATGGCAGCGACGAGGATGAGGAGGAGGAGGAGGAGGAGGAGGAGGAGGAAGAGGAGAACAGCGACGACGACCACAGGCGGGACGTTCAGGAAGGAGGGAGGCAGGCAGGGAGGGAGGGAGGAAGGAGGAGAAACAGAAGACAGTGTAAACCCAAGACTGAACAAGGATGTTGATGTACACCCTCCCTTCAAGTTCCCTCTGTCAGAGGTCCCTACAAGGATTCCTTCTCACTGCGGGAAGTGCAAGGACAACCGCCAAAGCACAGCCCCTGGGATTTCAGCACCGCAGATCAACATAATTGTCGCGCCGTGACAATTCCACATCGTGCCAAAACACCATTTCTGGGACGTCAGCCGTAAGATTCCTTGAAACTGCTGTAAGCAGTTAAGACGAATCTGCGCGGCGTTCAGGCGAGAGCCACATGTTGAAAAGGAATCGACATCCACCCGTGAACATCTTACAAACTTCTATAACGAATATGCGAGGCGCCAGGGCGAGAGCCACATTTTGAAAACAGCTACCCGCTCTCCATCCGTGAAGCTCTTGCAGATTTTTACGAACGGGCTCGGCGCTAACGCGAGAGCCACAGTTTGAAAACCACCCGCCCTCCATCCGTGAAGCTGCTGCGATCACCAAGCTTCAGGATCGTACATGGAGAGGAAATTTCATGCGGAACGCCCGGCCCGCCCTACCGACGCGTCTCGAGGTGCGACGGGGAGGAGTTATTCATAACAAAAGAGATGGAGAAGGAGGAGGAGGAGGAGGAGGAGGAGGAGGAGGAGGGAGGAGGGAGGGAGGGAGGGAGGGAGGGAGGGAGGAGGAGGAGGAGGAGGAGGAGGAGGAGGAGGGAGGAGGAGGGAGGAGGAGGAGGAGGAAGGAAGGAGAGAGGAAGAGGAGGAGGGAGAGGAGGAGGATGTAGGAGGAGGAGGAGGATGAGGAGGGACCAGGACTAGGACCGGGACCAGGACCAGGAGCAGGAAGAGGAGGATGATTAGGAGGGGGAGGAGCAGGATGGAGGAGCAGGAGGAGCAGCAGCAGCCGCACAACGCTACCGCCCAGGATCGGCATGCAGCGGCCGAGGAGGCGCCCCAGTAGGCGGCCCAGGCGGCAGACGGGGATCCTGCCGCATTCCCCCCTCCGATCGCTGGGCCAAAGTAATTATACCGTACGTCCCAAGGAGGAGGAGAAGGATGAGGAGGAGGAGGAGGAGGAGAGGAGGAGGAGGAGGAGGAGGGAGGAGGAGGAGGAGGAGGAGGAGGAGGAGGAGGAGGAGGAGGAGGAGGGAGGAGGAGGAGGAGGAGAGGAGGAGGAGGAGGAGGAGGAGGAGGAGGAGAGGAGGAGGAGGAGAAGGAGGAGGAGAGGAGGAGGAGGAGGAGGAGGAGGAGGAGGATGAGGAGGAGGAGGGAGGGAGGGAGGACGGAGGGAGGGAGGGAGGGAGAGAGGGAGGGAGGGAGGGAGGAGGAGGAGCAGGAGGAGGAGGAGGAGGGGAGGAGGAGGAGGAGGAGGAGGAGGAGGAGGAGGAGGAGGAGGAAGGAAGAGAAGGAGGAGGAGGAGGAGGAGGAGAAGGAGGAGGAGGAGGAAAATGACGAGGGAAACTGCAAACCCAGGACTCACCAACGATATTGCCATGAGCCCTCCCTCCAAGCTCCCTCTTCAGAGGCCCCATGTAAGGATTCATGTTCACTGCGGGGAGTGACCCCTTGAACCATGCCGAAGCGCAATTCCTGGGACTTCAACGCCGCGAATCACCGTCACTATTGCTTTCGGGTGATCCCGAATCGTGCCAGAACGCCATGTCTGGGACTTCAGTGCCACGAATCATCATAGCTGCTGCGGCCTGACAGTCCGACATCGTGCCAAACCACCATGTTGGGAACGCTCACCATGAGAACCCTTGAAAGTGCGCGGCGGTAAGGCGAAAGCCACATTTTGAAAAGTACAGCCCTCCATCCGGGAATCTCTTGTAAACTTAAGACGGATGCGCGCGGCGCTAATGTGAGAGCCACAGTTTAAAAGCAACCCGCCCTCAGTCCGCGAAAAGGCTTCAAACTTTCAAGAGTAATGTGCGCGGCGCTAAGGCGAGAGCCACATGTTGAAAACCACTCGCCCTCCATCCGTGAAGCTGTTGCAGAATGCGAGCTTCAGGATCATGAGTGGTGAGGAAGTCCCAGGCAAATCGCTTGGCCCGCTCTTCCGACCGACCTCGGGGTGCGACAGGGATGAGTTTCTCATAAGGAACAGGAATGGAGGAGGAGGAGGAGGAGGAGGAGGGGGAGGAGGAGGAGGAGGAGGAGGAGGAGGAGCAAGAGGAGGGGGAGGAGGAGGCGGAGGAGAACGACGACGACGACGACGACGACGACGACGACGACGACGACGACGACGACGGCGACGACGACCACGACGACGGCGGCCCAAAGCGAGGAAGAGACGGGGGAGGAGGGGGAGGAGGAGGAGGAGGAGGAGGAGGAGGAGGAGGACGACGACGACGACGAGGAGGTCTAGTGCTCCGACAGTGCCGGCAGCGGCACCTTCTTAGGGTGATGGCTATCGTGCGATGCTCCCTCGCGACGGCCCCTTGCCGAGTTGGCGGCTCCTTTTCTTCTCTGCTCCAAGTTCGCTGCTGCTCTTGGCTGGCGCAGACGGCCTGCTTGTCCGCCCAGCTCCCTTCTCAGCTGGCGAGGCAGAGGAGAATGCCGTCTTCGAGGCGAAGATGGGGCAGCGGCTGCTGGGCCTGATGCGCAAGGCGCCTGCACGGCGGTGGCACCGCCGCCCAGAGCGAGGAGGAGGAGGAGGACGAGGGGGAGGAGGAGAACGATGACCAGTGTAAACCCAAGACTCATCAACGATGTTGCAACGCACACTCCCTCCCTTCTCCATAGGTCTCTACAAATATTCATTTTCACTGAGGGACGTGCCCCGTTGGAAGACAACCGTCTAAAAGTCGTGAACCGTGCCAGAGCACCGTGCCTGGGACTTCAACGCTGCGAATCAACATAGATGTTGCGTCCCAGCGACCCTGAATCGTGCCAGAACGCAATTCCCGGGACCTCAACGCCGCGATTCAACGTGACTGCTGCTCTCGGACAGCCCAACACCGTGCCAAGTCAACCATCGTAATCCTTGACATGACTGTGCACTCTTAAGGCGAGTGTGCCTGGCGCTCAGGCGAGAGCCACATTTTGAAAAGGGACCGCCCTCCATCCATGAAGCTCCGGGTACGCGTGCATAACGAAGTCGCGCGGCGCTGAAGCGAGAGCCACATGTTTGGAAACGGCCCGCCCTCCGTCCGTGAAGCTCTTGCAAACTTCAAAGAGGAATGCGCGCGGCGCTAAGGCGAGAGCCACATCTTGAAAGCGGCCCGCCCTCCATCCGCGAGACGGTTGCAAACTGTTAGGACTAATGCGCGCTGCGCTGATGCGAGAGCCATATCTTGCAAAACACCCGCCCCCCATCAGCGAAGCTCCTTGCAAAGTTTCAAGACTAATGCGCCCAGCTCTGAGGCGAGAGCCGCATTTTGAAAACCACCCGCCCTCCATCAGTGAGATTCCTGCAGAAGACGAACGCGCGCACCGTTAAGGGCGAGAGCCACATTTTGAACAGAACCCGCCCTATAATTGGAAAACTGCTGCAAATTCTCAGTTCAAGGGTCATAAGTGGTGAGGACGTCTCAGGCGAATCGCCTGGCCCGCCCTACCGACATTTTCCGGAGCGCGACAGGGACTTACAAGGAAAATGGGTGGAGGAGGAGGAGGAGTAGGAGGAGGAGGAGGGGCAGGAGGAGGAGGAGGAGAAGGAAGAGGAGGAGGGGGAGGAGAAGCGCGAAGAGAGCGGAGGGGGAGGATATTGTGAGGGAGCAGGGGGAGGAAGCGGTAGGAGAAGGGGGGCGGGAAGTGGGAGTGAAGAAATGAGGAGGCGGAAGGACAAGCAGGAGGCGCGGGGGCAAGCATGGGTGACGCGAGCGTGGAGCAGCAGGGTGGAGAGGGATCAGGAGGAGGACAAAATGGTCGGGGCGGACGACGATGACGATGACAACAACGACGATGACGACGACAACGACAACGAAGACAAAGACGAAGACGAAGGCGAAGGCGAAGGCGAAGATGATAATGAAGATGACGACGACGAAGACGATGACAACGACGACGAAAACGAAGAAGACGAAGACGAAGACCAAGTCAAAGACGAATACGAAGACGGATTGGACGAAGAGGGGGACGAGGAGGTGGAGGGCGAGGACGAGGAGGAGAAGAAACAGGAGGAGGAAGAGGTCGCAGCTTACCAGTCTGATGCATATCTCACAGCCGCAGTAAGTTACTGCCGTGACCTGGTTCTCTCCAAGAGGGAGAGGAGCAGGAGGAGGAGGAGGAGGAGGAGGAGGAGGAGGAAGAGGAGAAGGAGGAGGAGGAGGCGGAGGACCAGTGTACGCTTTACAATAAAACCTCCCTCAAAGTTCCCGGCCCTGTCCTGTCCGAGTTCCCTCCCCATAGGCTTTCTATTCCCCAATCAGAGCTTGCCTCTGTGGGGGGCCTAGCGGATTCATATGTGTAGGTGACCTACGTCGCCGATTTTGGGTGCCCGGGGGTGCCCGGGTGCTCGGTGCCCGGTTGCCCGGGGATGCCCATGGTGCCCGGAGGTGCCTGGGGGTGCCCAGGTGCTCTATCGCCCTATCGCCCTATAGCCGTATAGCCCTATAGCCGGATAAGCCCTATAGCCCATCTAGCCCTATAGCCCTATAGCCCTATAAGCCTTACAAGCCCTATAAGCCCTAGAGCCCGATAAGCCCTATAGCCCTAAAGCCCATATGCCCTATAGCCCTATAACCCTATAGCCCTATAAGCCCTATAAGTCCTATAGCCATATAGCCCTACAGCCCTATAGCCCTACAGCCCTATAGCCCTGTAGCCCTACAGCCCTACAGCCCTATAGCCTTATAGCAGCATAGCCCTATAACCCTATAGCCCTTATGGCCTTCATAGCCCTCGCAGACTTCATGAACCTAAGGAGCAATTACAAAGGGATCTCATGTAAGATCAAAAAGATTCTGACTGGGTTGTCTCCAGTATCATAAGGATTTGCCTACACTGCGGTCATAGCTTCATTGGAAGAAAACCGTCAGATACTCACCACCCGTGCCAAAGTATTAGTGTTGGAACTTCAGCCCCATGAATCAAAGTTATTGTTGCGACCTGATGATCATTCATCGCGCCAGAACACCATTCCTGGGACGCCAAGCCCCGAAGCAAATGACCCTCGCGACCAGACAATCCTAAACAGCACCAAAAACATTGTTTGTGGGACATCAACCGTGATATTCCTTGGAACGGCTGTAGATTCCTAAGACGAATGTGCGCGGCGCTGAGGCGAGAACCACATGTTGGAAAGGAACCGCCCTCAATCAGTGACATAGTTTTTAATAACCTAAAGACGAGTGTGCATGGCGCTAAGGCGAGAACCACATGTTGAAAATGAATCGGCCTCCATCCGTGAAACCCTTGCAACCTTGAAAGACGAATGCGCGCTGCACTAATGCGAGAGCCACATGTTGCAAACGGCCAGTCTTCCATCCGTGAGTCTCTGGCAAAAGTTGAAAGCGAATGCTCGCGGCACCAAGGCTAGGGCCACATGTTGTAAACGGCCAGTCCTCTATCCGTGAAGCTGTTATAAAATATACGCCCAATGATCATGAGTGCCGAGGAAATCTCAGGCAAACCGCCCAGCCCACCTACCGCCCCGTCTCGGGGTGTGTCAGGGGCGAGTGATTTATAAGGAGGAGGGATGGAGGAGGAGGAGGAGGAGGAGGAGGAGGAGGAGGAGGAGGAAGAGGACGAGGAGGAGGAGGAGGAGGAGGAGGAGGAGGAGGAGGAGAGACGAGCGCTCTCGGACCCTGGAGCGGTTGAGGAGGGCCTGCGCTCGGACGCCCTCGGCGCTCCTGCGCCCAGTCCTCTGGGAGGACTTGGCATCGCTCGGACGTGTGCATATTTTTTCCTCGGCGAGGACCATCGAGGAGCATCCTGGGTTATCGAGCAAAACAAACAAAACCCGCGAGAACGAGAAAAGCATGGGGAGTGGACGTCCGAGCGATGGCAGGAGGAGGAGGAGGAGGACGAGACGCGACGGGAGCGTGTCGGCGGCGCGCCCCGGGAGGGCGATGGCACGAGACGCGACGGGAGCGTGTCGGCGGCGCGCCCAGGGGGGGATGGCAGAGGGACGAGACGCGACGGGATGCGTCGTGTCGGCGGCGCGCCAGGGGGGGGGGGGATGGCAGAGGGGCGGGCCTCTCAGCAGGCGCACAGGGCCTCCGGCCTTCTGAGCTCAGAGGGGGGGCTTCTCGGGGAGGAGGAGGAGGAGGCAGGAGGAGGAGGAGGGGAGGAGGAGGAGGAGGAGGAGGAGGAGGAGGAGGAGGGAGGAGGAGGCGGGGGAGGAGGAGGAGGAGGAGGAGGAGGAGGAGGAGGCGGGGGGAGGAGGAGGAGGGGAGGAGGAGGAGGAGGAGGAGGAGGAGGAGGAGGAGGAGGAGGCGGGGGAGGAGGAGGAGGATGATGATGAGGAGGAGGAGGAGGAGGAGGAGGGAGGAGGAGGGAGGAGGAGGGAGGAGGAGGAAGAAGTGGAGGAGGTGGAGGAAGAGAAGGAGGAGGAGGAGGGGAGGAGGAGGAGGAGGAGGAGGGAGGGGGAAGAGGAGGAGGGAGGGGGAAGAGGAGGAGGGAGGGGGAGGATGAGGAGGAGGAAGAGGAGGAGGAGGAGGAGGAGGAGGAGGAGGAGGCGGAGGAGGAGGAGGAGGAGGAGAGCTCGGTAGGTAGCCGTTTTGGCCCCAGCGGAGGGCCAGATAGGGCCGGCGCGGGGCGCAAAGGGCGAGCACAGCCACGTGAGAACCTTGCCCGATCTCCGGTTCCCCCCCAAGGGGCACGAAGATAGCAACGCGTCGCGGGTTGCGGCTGGGGGGGGCGGCGCGAGGGCGCGCAGACCACTGCGCGTCGCGCATCGCGGGGCGCGGTGCGCGAAACCTAGGCGACCGAGGACCTGCCCACCGATCCGAGCCAGTGGGGGCTCACCAGCCCGGGGCTTCCACTTCGCCCGTGGCCCCTCACGGCTCCTGGGCCCCGGCTGGCGAAACCAGAATTTCCTCGTCCAGTCCGACGGGCGGTATGGGGTGCGGTTCGCACGTGGCTGCGGCAGGTTCGTGTCGCGTCGACGCGGCGGCAGCGCCAGCGCGCGGGCGTTCAAGGTTGAGCGCCGCCTTTGGCCCAGAGTCGGCCGAAATCGAGCGATCCGCGCTGTCAGAAAGCTGCGATCGTTCAAAGGCTGGACGACGGGCGCGGCATCAGAAAGACCAGCGCCGCAGCCGTCGCGGCACGAGCCTGCCGTACCCGGAGGGGGCCATGCCCAAAGCCCAGGGTTGCGCCGGCGCCCCGCGGCGGATGGCCGCGTGCTGGCTCCAGGGGAGCAAAGGAACACAAGCACACTTTCGGAGCTCCGCGCGGCACCTCCCGTAGAAGAAGAAGAAGAAGAAGAAGAAGAAGAAGAAGAGGAAACATAGGCATCCACCTGAAGCTGCACAGGTCCGACAGTTTATGCTTACCTACGTCGCCCTCTGGGCTCGCGAAGATAATCGCGCTTCGCGCGTCACGGCCTGGGGCAGAGGGACTACCCTTCTCCAGCGGGGGCGGCGCGGGGGGCGCGAGAGCG